GGCGCAGGGCCTCCTGCGGGGGACACAGTAATCAGCACGGGACGGGCGGGCAGGCGGGCGGCACCGGGCGCCTAGCTCTTGGCAGCGTCGCGCTCTTTGCTGTCCGTGTCCTCAGGGTACGCGTGCCAGGTCAGTCTCTCCTCATAGAAGGCGATAACGATCTGCGGGCACTTCACGTTGGCCTCCTTTGCCAGCACCAGGTCCGCCTCATCCGTGTCCTTCCTAAGGTGGGGGAGACAAGGAGTCAGGGCAGGGGCAGCTGGGCTGGGGCAGCCCCTGTGACTTTTTCTGCTGCCTCCTCTGTGCCTCAGTTTCCCACATGCTGAGGGGTGGCAGAGGGACATGCACCTCTCTGGTCCTTGACGCCCCATGCAGATGGATTTTGCTGTCAGAGCCCCCCACTGTGGGGTAGGGAACCACCCCTCCCATTTTAGAGGTGGGCAACCGAGGCACAGCAATGGCAGGAGCCTGCACTGCATCTCCAAGTTGAGATCTACCCACGGACGCCGGAGCACAGAACAGAGGTGAAAGCTGCGCGTGATGATGCCCGAGGGGGCCTGGTGGAGGGCACCAGCTTCATCTCTCCTAGTTGCTTCCCTGCCAGGCTCCTGAGAGATCCTAGCAGCCCCAAGCTCTCGCTGCCCAAACTCACGTGCCACCGCACACCTGTCACTGGGGTGGGCAGGAGGCCCCCTGAACCGCATTGCAGCCCCCGGAGCTGCTAATACACGGCCCCAGGGAACCCTGGGGCTGCTGGCCTGCCCTGGCCCCTGGAGGAAGGGGTAACCCAGGACCTGACCTGAGCTGACAGCCTGCCTTGGGGAGGGCCCTGCCAGGGGGCCCTGATGGAAACTAGGAGCCAGGGAGTGGAGGGGAGATGCCAGCGAGCGCCAGCCAGTGCCTTGTGCCAGCCGGGGCAATGAGGAGCTGCCCATCTGCCAGAGCTGTGAGGCTCAGCAGGACGTACGGAGCCACAGCTGTGCTCAGCCACGGCCCCCCCTGCCCACAACTCGGCTGCAGCTGCGCCCGGAGCCGTTCCTGCCCAGCTGGGTCCCAGGGAGGCTGACAGGGAGCCAAGGCTGTGACCCAGGGAGCTGTTTGGGGCAGAGCCGGTGGCCAAGGCAGGGGAGGAGGGGGGTGTTGAATGGTGCAGGCCTCCCCAGGAGCCTGTGATCAGCCGGGCAGGCGCTGGCCAAAGCTCTTTGTCTGGAGCAGTGGAGGAGGGACACCCTTTGCATCATCCTGCCCAGCCAGGCGAGAGGCTTGGGCCCCGCAGTACTGGGGAGAGAGAAAGAGCTGTGGCTGGGGGGGAGACCGTGGCAGGAGGGTGCTGGGCATGCATGGCAGTGCCTGGAGGCTGCTGCGGCCAGGGGTACGGGGGGTCGTGGAAAACCAGCCTCACCATTTCATCAGGAACATCAGGTCTCCACAGGAATCAGTGGCCCCGATGATCTTCTCGGGCTCCAGGCCCCGCTCGAAGCCCCTGGCGATGTCGTTGCTCTGGGAGGGAAAGA